TTAAATTAGTGTAAAATCGAATAGTATTAATAGTTAGTTATATACCTAAAATTCCGTTTCCGCAGTCTTTTATCTCCTATACGCTTTTACAACCAAATTATAGTCACAATTTGTGGTTCCCTTAAGTCTAAAGTGCTGTTTGCCAATTTTCCATTAAATTCTATTATAGCTTCCATATATAATTCTAACATATATAATGTAAATGGCGGACAAAATTCCCTATATTCACCCAAATGACACGAAATGTTGTTGCTTTTATCAATTTTTTTTTTAAATCAATATTATGCCACCAAACATAATTTATAACGCGTTGCTAAGCTAACATTGTTAGAACACCTCTAGTATATATTGGTGCATTAGGGTATCATAGGGTTGGCTCCGTCCGACTTTTGTCCGTTTATTTTTATTTTCATGATAATTTTTTTGAGGCGCGGGATGTCATGATCTTTTGCCCCTCCATATGACTTACTTATATAATATCTAAACCCTTAGGACGATTTGAACTCCCCGATGATATATATTGTCCTTAAACAAGTGGATACATCTCACTTTACTTCCCTAACTTGATATTTTCAGCATCAGAGTGATTAGTCATGCTGTGGAAAACACCATGTAAAATTTCTCACAGAATAATTTTTATTGGATCGATGACGTTTAGTAGTCCATTCAATATTTTATTGTTGACTATCCGTCTTCATCCGTTTTCTGTGTAATTTTGGCATTATTTATCTCGAGGGTAAAATTCTCACTTCCTAGGCTCTGAAGTAAGACTGACTCTGAAAGATAGATCTTGATTAATATCTGCCGGTGCTTCTCTTTTCCGCGATTTTTGTTTATGCTACGATGGTATCAGATGCTTTCGTCTTCCCTATAACGTCACGCCCTAGTCATCAGCAATCTGAATGTGTTATCTCATAAATATCCATTGTAATTAATTATAACCTTCATAGATAATTATACTATTTTTCACTTCATATAAAATTGCAATTTATAAGAAAAGTGTAAAACACGAATATATATTTTAATTAAAAAAAAAACAAAGAAAAGAAAAGGAAGAAGAAAATAAAAACGCAAATTAAAAAAATTAACAAAGCAAATCGAAAAGTAATTTCTTCAGGTCATTCACTTCGGGCTGGCTGGCAAAATTAACGTCGTTTGGTGTTTAACGACGAAGAAACACTTTTTTTGGCATAGGATTATTTTTATGCATCGCCAAATGATACGCTTTTATGACTTTTTCAATACAATTTTGTAAACTAAAAATATAAACAATCAAAAAAACAAATGTAATAAATGATAACAAAGGAAAAACAAAACATAAAATGATAAGATTTTAAAATTTCTTAATTTGTTTTTCAAATTGTTGTTTAAAAACGATTTTAAAAATATTCATGCCCTAAAATAATAAAAAAGAAGCTTTGCTTAAAAAGGATTTAAAAAAAAATCATGCTTAAGAAAATATTTTTAAAGCATTCGAAAATCTTTTTTTAAAAAATGCAAGCCCTGTGCTGGACTTTTAAAATACTTACTTACTTAGCTGGTTTGTTACAGTACGGTTGTTTCATAAGCCGAGCTTAAAAAAGATTTCCAAGCGCGTCGGTCTTGTTCACATATACTCCGAGATGTTGTTTTCTACTTGGTCTTTCCATCTAATTTGTGGCCTTCCTCTTCTGCGGGAACCATCAGCTGGTTCGGGTTTAAATGCCTTTTGAGCTTGGGTATTCTCATTCCCACAACATGACCTAGCCACCGTAGTCGCTGCAGCTCAATACGACTGACGATGTCGATGTCCGCGTATAGATTGTAAAGCTCGTGGTTCATTCGACACCGATCGGCCCGTATATCTTTCGCAAGTAGCTATGCTTCAGATCCATATAACAGTAAGGGTAGTATCAGCGTCTTGTAAAGTGTGAGTTTGGTCTGATGGGAGGTGGCCTTGTTAAAATCTGCTTACTTACATCTGTTGGCCATAACTATCCTTCTCCGAATTCCAAATCTGATGTCATTAGTTTTATTTGTGGCGATACCAAGGTATATAAAATCTTTAACTACCTCGAAGCTGTAGTTCTCAAGTTTCACAGTTGGTCCGAGTCTACTGGACGTCTTACGCGTTGATACCATCAGCTTGGTCTTCTCGCCATTTACTGCCAAACCCACATTGGCAGACGCCCTCTCAATTTTTTCAAAGGTGGCTCTATCGATATCGAACTTTTCCAGAAGGATGTTAAAAAGATCACACAACAAACTGTCATCTTTTCTGAATCTTCGTTCAGTATTGAAGGGCTCCGATAGGTTATTTCCGACTTTAACTGCTGACCTTGTGCCACTTAAAGTTATCCTGCATTGCCGTATTAATTTTGTAGGAATGTCGAACGCAGACATGGCTTTAAATACCTCTGAACGGATAGGGCTGTCGAATGCGGTATTATAGTCGACGAATAGGTGGAATGTGTCGATGTGTTTTTTTTGTGGGTTTTTTCCAGGATTTGGCGCAGAGTGAAAATCTGGTCAATGGTGGATTTGCCAGGTCTAATGCAGCATTGGTATAATTTTATTGACCATTGGCTTCAGCCGTTCACACAGTACGCTGGATAAAACTTTATATGCGATGGGAAGGAGACTTATTCCTCTATAGTTGATACATATAGTCTTGCCTCATTTTTTGTGCGCGTGACGCAAGATGCTGATATCCCAATCATTGGGCATGCATTCTTTTAGCCAAATTGTACTAATCAGCTGGTGCATGACCAGCATCTGACCACCAGTCTTGAATAGTTTGGCTTTTAACCCATCGGCACCTGCTGCTTTATTATTATTAAGCCGATTGATTCCTCACGCTCACGTTTTTTTTTTCTTCTGTCTTCTTTTTTTCTGAAAATACGTTTCTCCTCTCTCATTACTCCCGATAATTCTCCATCGCATTACGTGTTGCTACTGTCTGCAGGGTTGCCCTATACGCTGCGTTTTTCATGTCAGTAGCTAGAGTTGGGCAATCTAGTTCACTTAACGGATCGATCTTTCTCGTTCCTTTTTTAAAAAGGAACTAATTTCTTAATGTAGTTCCTTTGCTCCTTATAGTTCCTTTGCTCCATATAGTTCATTTGCTCCCAATAGTTCCTTTGCTCCATATAGTTCCGACTCCTATATAGTTCCTTTGAATCTCTCTCTTTCATCGTTCTTTTTATACCCTCCACCGTAGTATGGAGGGTATATTAATTTTGTCATTCCGTTTGTAACACATCGAAATATTCATTTCCGACCCTATAGCCATGTCCGTCCGTCCGTCTGTTGTAATCACGCTATCTTCTGAAGGAATTGAGATAGGGTGCTGACATTTTGCATAAAGTTGTCTTTTGTCTGCAGGCAGGTCAAGTTCGAAGATGGGATATATCAGTCCCATATAAGGGTACCCCCCAATTTTCGGTATTTTGAGGTTCCTGAGCGTGTTTTTTCAACCGAACTCGCTGAAATTTGGTACTTTGAGCTCCTATTGGGAAGCAAATCTCCCTACTAAAAATTATAAATATAGGTCAATTTTTTCTGGTACCACCCATATAACGGTACCCCCAATTTTCGGTATTTAGGGCTCTTAAGTGCGGGATTCAACCGAATTCGCTGGTACATGGGGTTCTTATTGGGTACCAAATTGCCCCACTAAAAATTATAAATATAGGCCCACTTTTTCTGGTAGCCCCCATATAAGTGTACCTCTCAATTTCCAGTTTGTGGGTGGGTTTGACCGGATTTTTTCACCGAATTGACAGTAATTTAGTATTTTGAGTCCTTAATCGGTACAAAATCTCCCCACAAAAAATTATGAATATAGGTCAATTTTTACGGATAGCCCCCATATAAGGGTACCCCCAATTTTCGGTATTTTGGGGTTCTTGAGCGCGTTTTTTAACCGAATTTGCTGCAATTTGGTATTTTGTAGTTGTATATAGAAACAAATCTCCCTACCAAAAATTATTAATATTCGCCCGCTTTTTGGGGTAGTCTCCATATAACCCCCTTTTTTATATTAAAATAGTTATCTGATTTGTTCCGCGTTTTGAGTTTGGTTCTAAGACTCTGTTGTAATCATTTCTCTTGCGGAGGATAGCGAAATACGAAATTATAACGTAAGGTTCGATAATGAACTATAGCCGCATTTAGACCTAGCCCCTGTGTGGAGGTTCCAGAAGGAGTGGACCGATATTCCCCATCTTTGAATTTGAACTAAGTTTGGAAGAAATAATAAGTTTGGATGAAATCTAAATTGTCTGAAACGGTTTTGGTCCAAAGAAACTTGGGGTCTAGAACCAATATTTCGATGAGGCACATTTTCACCATGTTAAAATGTATACACCCTTATTAGCCATAAGGCAGATGTTATAATTATCCATTAAAAATTTCTGAAATTTGTATTATGGTTTACATAATCCCTTTTTAGAAATGTCGGTATAGGTCCACTTTTTGGTATGTTCCCTATATTTTCATTTCTAGTACATGTCAGTATATCTATGGTGGAGGGTATCCAAAGTTCGGCCCGGCCGAACTTAACGCCTTTTCACTTGTTTTCGCTCACATAGTTCCGCGTTGTTTTGTTAATAAATTCAAAAATTGCTAAAGAATTCAACTGCATAACGAGTTGAATTCTTTAGAACGAGATCAAAAATAAGCGAGATCAAAGGAACTATATTAATTACAGAGCTGGAACTAGTTCCGATCGTTCCTTTCTCGGAATAGTTCCAATAGTTCGTTCCGGAACTACCCAACTCTATCAGTAGCATTACGACGCTCCTGATGGTACCATCGGTTTCTTGATGGTGATTTTTGGTACCCAAGTATTGGTTTTGCTGCAGTTTGTAGGGATTGGGCAATTATTTGCCATTGTGCTTCTATACTATTTTCGGGACAAGGAGTGCCTTCGCCAAGCAGGTGGGTAAGTTGAGTGGAGTATACTTCTGCTATCTGTTGTGTTTGCAACTTTTCGACGTCGAGTTTTCGTGTTACATTAGATCGCACCTATTTGTGCTACATTAAGACAGGTGCGAACCTTGGCCGCTACAAAGTAATAGTCCGAATCGGTATTCGCTTCTCGTATCGATCGAACGTCTAAAACACTGGGCGAATGTTTTCCGTCCATCACAACATGGTCAATTTGATTTCTCGTTGCTTGATTTTTAAAATATTCAAAAATCCACACTTATATTTTTAAACAAACAAAAATATTTTTAAACAAATTCACGCTTATAGGCCATTGGGAATTATTTTGAAAAAATCCACGCTTATTCTGGTGGTCTTAGAAATAATATTTTTTTTATTAATTTATTACCAATATTAACAGTAATTTTTTATTGGCTATTAACGCATGTCTAATAACAAATATTTGCTATATTACAGCCTACTACCTGCAGCAATGTCCGCGTGATGAGCAATACATTAATGAATGTTTACGTGACAGTGGCAACAAATTGGTCCATTATCTGCGGCAAGGTATTCCCGAGCTGGAGATGTATGAGGTGGGTATTTAAAACTACGCATTGGGTGGCAGCACTTATTTCATTGTTAATTTTTTTATTTTTAATTTTCTCAGATTGAACCAGTTGATATCGATGAAATTGGCATCTCATTGGGTTCTGGTCCAGATGGTTATCGTGCCTTATTCCGCAACATTCAAGCATTCGGTGTTAGTAATTTGACAATTACAAATGTGAGGTAAGTAAATGAACAAAAATTTTCCATATTCATGACCTCCTTGCAAAACATGCTCCAAATTACATTCATATTTATTTTCTAATCCATAACCAACACATAAATATGTAAATATACGTTGCACATGACACGTAACTCCATCCGCAATGTGTGAACAGTAGTGTGTGTGTGTTTTGTAGTAAGCGGCGTCATTCATGTCACTAGACCGCCAAAATTAATGGACTATAAACGAGACTAGTTAAACTTGTTCCTCCAAATCGTACAGACGTGTATCGATTCTTTTGTAACGACCTTGACGGCCATTTGATCATTTTGTTGCATGCCAACTTTAGCTAGCCAGTCATCGAAACACCAACCCATCGAACAGTAGTTGTGGCATGCAATGACCACAAACTTTGTAATTTATAGGTGTCACCGTCATATACACAAATATATTCGGTTTAGTTGTGATTCAATTGCATTCTGTTACTGGCACTTAAAGTTTCCAACGGCTTGATGAAATGGGGTGACATACAATTTAAAAATATTTATAAACCAGTAAGGAAAGTTCAAAAGTCGGACGGGACTGACTATATGATACTCTTCAACACTATGGGTAAATACAAGAGGTGCTAATACATCCTTTAGATAGAACAGAAATATCATCGGGTGTGATTTACATAGATTTTTGAAACTATTACAAAACCCCATGGACGTAATCGGGATGACTTGGATTCTTTGGTGTACCATTTCTATAAAACCGAGCAAAATTATGTATGTAGATCGAGACCTAATTGAGCAACGGTGGCATATATGGAACAGACGCAGGCTCCTCGGTGAACGTAAAATCAGACGAAAATATATCTACATCTAAACCGATTTTCACGAAACTTAACACGCATCCATCTAGACTCAATTCAGTACGCTATACCCAATTTCGTGCAAATAAAAACCAGTGAGCGGAGCAGTATAGTCGGACGGGGCCGACCATACGATACCCTACACAACTTCCACGGAACTCTAACTTTCTGCGGATGTTTATTCTGAGCCTGGGCAATATTTTGTGATATTTGCACCCTCTTGCCTGATTAGAGGTCAACAGCACCTCTACCTTACACTGACATATGTTTCGAATATTAATAATATTCGAATATTAATAATATTCAGTACGGTGAAGATTCCCTTCACCGTGGGTTGTGTTGTGATGTCTTTGGTCCACTACATGCCAAAATGATTATCTGATCATCGCCGAAAATAATAGGCGTTGTCCTTGACCACAATTGGAAAATTTCAGAGCGACCAGCGCCATATTTCCGCCCTCTAGTGTGGTAATGGGTTACAAAATAATATCTCAGTACGTAAGCACCTGTAAATATTTAAGTGTAACTCCCACATCTGAGTACGTACGAACATAAATTGGTATCAATTTAAAGGTCAACCACTCCTCTTGGATATACAATCAACTTCTCGGGTCTATGTCCTTCAGGGGCAAATATATAGGCAATAGAATACTAAATTTGTAGTTTTTCACACAAAAGTCAGGGTCCATTTCAACCGCTAAATATTGACCGATCCTTATCAAAACAGGCATGCTTATTCTTTGGCCCGATCCCCTTCTCTATGTAAAATTTCGATGTTCGCGACATAATTGCGACAAAAATTTAGTATTCATCCCCTAAATATTAACTGATCTTTACCAAAAACAATAGGGGTCTTCATTGGCCAGAACCCATCCTACATGCAAAATTTCGTAAAGATTGGTCCATAACTGTGGCCTGTATCGATTTTTAAAATTATAGTGGACAGACTGACGGACGGACCCACATGTCTAGATCGACTCAGCTAGTCGAGATATGACGATCGGTATACTTAAGGTGGGTCTAGGACCAATATTTCGGCGTTACAAACTTTTGGGGCTGCAAAAAGCTATAATACCCTGACAACATAGTTGTGTAGGGTATAAAAATAGAGGGGCTTTGGTGCATATAAAATCTGACGAAAATATATATAGGAGCTATATCTAAATCTGAAGCGATTTTCCCAAAATTTAACAAAACTAGCCTCAATTAAGTGTGCTGTGCAAAATTTCGTGCAAATCGAAAGATATATAGGGACTTTGGTGCACCATTTACATAAAATCGGACCAAAATATATATGGGTACTATATCTAAATCTGAATTGAGTCTCACGAAACTTAGTACACATTATTCTATAATCAATTAAGTGCGCTGTGCCAAATTTCGTTCAAATCGAAAGTTATATAGGGTCTTTGGTGCACCATTTACTGAAAATCGGACGAAAATATATATGGGAGCTATATCTAAATCTGGACCGATCCTCAGGAAACTTAACACACATCATTCTAGACCTAATTCATTACGTTATGCCAAATTTCGTGCAAATCGAAAGATATATAGGTACTTTGGTGCACCATTTGCCTTAAATCGGACGAAAATATATATCGGAGCTATATCTAAATCTGAACCGATTTTTCCCAATTTCAATAGGGTTCGTCCTTGGGCCAAATAAGTGACCTGTGGCAAAATTCATCCAAATCGGATCATAAATGCGACCTGCACTTTGTTTACAATTTAACATGGACAGACAGACGGACATGCATATTCTCATAAGGAACCCTCTGTCTATCTCGTTTCCTTTTGCCTATTACAAACATATGCACAAAGACATAATACCCTGTACCACAGTGTGGTGAAAAACCACGCCTGTGAAAAGACATCTAAACAAAGTCCACGCCTGTGGATAGACCTTTAAAAATATTTTTAAAAAAATCGCGCCTGTAGATAGACATTTTTTTTTTAATTCAAAACTTTGTATTGATTTTTATTCAGTCCAATTGTAATACCCTTTTTCTCCATCACTTCAATTCAAAATCATGGCTTAGATTTTGCAACATTACTACTGTCGCATTCTCAATGTGATATACCGGAAAGTTGACTCTGCGGCTAGCTGAGACTCAAAAGAAAATTGCGCAATTTCGTATGTCCATTTGTGAAAAAAACTCAATTCGCAATCAATTCATTCAATCATTTGAAAACATGTTTTCGCCAAATTTATTTCATGTCAAACATTTATCTTCAAGTTCTCTCTCTCTCTTTCTCTCGCCACAGATCCGATTTGGAGTCATTGCAATTTCAGTTGACCTGTGAGATACCACGCATCAAGGTTAGAGCCCAATATCGTTCAAGCGGTGTTTTAATTTTGGTCAAAGCATCTGGTGCCGGTGAATATTGGGGCGAATATGGTAAGTGGTGGCGTCGGAATTGTAAGAAAAAAACTAGTTTTGTGTTGCGTGTTCTCATCAGAACCACCACAACAACAACAATAATCGCAAATAAAATTAAGCTTCTTATATTACACATCATAATAATAATTATTGTTCTTTGCTTCAATTACAGAGGGTGTCAAGTCAAAAATGTATTTCAAGGCTGCACCACATGAGGGACCAGATGGCCGTACATATTTGACCACCGAACAGGTGAAAATGGATTTCAATGTCAAGGACATACAGATGGGTGTAGATAACATTGCCAATGGCAATTCGGTTATACGTAAGTAACATCCTCCCTATTTCATACCTCGAAACCTTCTCCTTAACATAACTCCTCTTTTTCTCTCCTTATCCTACAGAGGCCGCCTTGAATCTGTTCATCAACTCCAATGCTCAGGAATTGCTGAAGGAAATGAAACCAGCATTGCGCACAAAACTCACTCTGGTCATGCGTAACTTCATGGATCGCCTGTTTGCCCGAATCCCCCTCGAGGAATGGATTAATTTGGATTAAATTGATTGATTTGATGTCTTTGGATATCAACGAATCATCAATCGCATAGCTTTAAGTTTAGATTCTTAGTATCTGTCGTTTATTCTCCTTAATACTTAGTATGCGAAATAGTTTTCGCAGAAATTCACAACAGCAACAATTCTCGTTAAGATTAAGTTTAAAATAAATGAAATCATATTTATTGTTTACATTAAATGCTAATAATTATTAAGATAAGTAAATAAAGAAAAAATATTAAAAATTAAATTTGTTATATCCATTGGGGAGAGTGGTGATATTATGTGAGTATGATTTTTGATTACAGAAGCTTTTCCGAAAATGTATGTGCCTGGTCGAAAAAGTCCAAGACATAACTAGAAATAATTTGGAAAATACATATGCGAATTTTGTAGCACCAATGCAGTTGTCGGTAAGAGTGTCTGAAATAAATAAACAATGGAATGGTAAACTAGTCACAATCGAATGAGTGGAAAGTCGGCGGTTGTTTGCAACAGAAACAGTAATCAAATAAACGGTTGCAGAAAAACCAGTAAGGAAAGTAGTAAAGTCGGACTGGGCAGACTATATTATACCCTTCACCACATACATACATTGTACATATCGTCAGCTAAAATGCAAAAAGGCGTAACTAACAAAAAATTGAAAATTGACTTTTTGAATGAATATTGTGAATGTCAATAAACTACATGTGTTGACAAAGTTTTACACGTCTGCGATCAAAACAGGAGCTTCTATTAACAAAAAACAAAAAGACGTAACTACAAGTGGGTTTATTTGATAAATGCAAAAAGGCGTAACTAACAAAAAATTCACGTTTTAACTTAATTGTTATGACTGCCATTAAACTAAATAACTAAATTTGTTAAAAAAAAAAATATAGTCGATTATTCGTCATATGCAATATCACCCTGCCGGGCACACTTTTTCATTTCACATGACATGTTTATAGTTTTCATTCAGAACAGTTTTTTGCTTCTCCTACACAATTATGTTTTTGTTAGTTACGCCTTTTTGCATTTTAGCTAACGATATGTATCCTAACCATTTCACATCGATGTTCCCTCGAAGGAACATACACATGCCTTTTTGCAACCTATGATAAATTTAATTTCATTCGAGCAGATTTAGAATCGATTGCATACAATGGGACAAATTTATAGAAATCGATTTATAGCAAACTTGATACATGCTATTCGGAATGCCACACTGTTAAAAATTTAATCTCAATAATACACCCGTTCGAAATATATATGGAAGCTATGTATGCAACTGCACCAATTTCATCAAAACGCAACGTCTCAATCGTACAAACATTAGGAGTTTGATGGTCCATTTACCTAAAATCGGACATATGTAGGAGTTATATCTAAATCTGAACCGATTTTCACGAAACTTAGCACACATCATTTTAGACTCAAATCAGTATGCCATGCCAAATTTCGTGCAAATCGAAGGATATATAGGGATTTTGGTACACCATTTACATTAAATTGGAGAAAATATATATGGGAGCTACATCTACATCTGAACCGATTATCTCCAAACTTAACACACATCATTCTAGGCTTTATTCAGTACCCTATGCCTAATTTCGGGCAAATCGAAATATATATAGGGACTTTGGTACACCATTTACATTAAATCGGACGAACATATATATTGGAGCTATATTTAAATCTTAACCGATTTTGTCCAAACTCAGCACACATCATTCTAGACTTTATTCAGTACACTATGGCAAATTTCGTGCAAATCGAAAGATATATACGGACTTTGGTACACCATTTACATTAATTCGAACGAACATATATATGGGAGCTATATCTAAATCTGAACCGATTTTCACGAAACTTTGCGCACATCATTTTAGACTAAAATCAATATGCCATGCCAAATTTACTACAAATCGAAGTACATATTGGGACTTTGGTACACCATTTACATTGAGTCAGAGAAAATATATATGGGAGTTTTATCTAAATCTGAACCGATTATATCAAAACTTAGCACACATCATTATAGACTTTATTCAGTACGTTATGCCAAAATTCGTGCAAATCGAATGATTTTCAAGGACTTTGGAGCACCATTTACCTTAAATCGGCTGAAAATATATATGGGAGCTATATCTAAATCTGGACCGATTTTCAGGAAACTTAACAAACATCATTCTAGACTTAATTCAGCACGCTATGCCAAATTTCGTGCAAATCGAAAGATATATAAGGACTTTTCTACACCTTTTACATAGAATCGGACGAAAATACTTATGGTAGCTATATATAAATCTGAACCGATTTTTCCCAATTTCAATGGGGTTTGTTCTTGGGTCAAAGAATGAGAAGAAGAGAGAGAGGAAAAATAAGGCCAAATAGTTGCAAAGTACAGCGAAGTAGGAAAATAGTTCTAATATTAATGAAATGTTAACATTTTTTGAAAAAATTAGTGACTTTATCGTCATTATAAGAATTTGTAGGACCAATTTTGGTCAAAGAAGATCCCGACTGCGTTTGGTAATAATTGGTTAAAATTTAGGGGACCAAATGAATCAAAAACTTTATTTTCGTCGGCGTTTCTTATCTCTATAGATATTACCATTATAATCCGAATACGGCGAAATTTTACATTGGGGAGGGGAGTTATCCATAGAACAGGAGTGACGACTGATCAATAAATAGCGGGTCAAATGGACCAAGACTCTTGTGTGTAAAATTAAAAAAAAAATGCATTCTATGACGCAAAAGGAGTGGTTGAGATTGACATTGATACCCATTATTGCTATGTATGTACAACGGGTGAGAAGATTATACTTAATTATTTAAAAGGGTCTAGCTATTCTGATATTATTTAGTATTACCATTACCACACTAGAGGGCGTAAATCTCGTGCTATGCAGTTCAGATTATGGTCAAGGACAACGGCTGCAATTATTAAATATTAATGATGAACAAAACAGTTATCACATTTTTGTCTCTTCCCACAGCTGAAGAAAGAAAAGCGTTTTAAGAAAGCGTTTTTAAGCAGAAAAATCGAAAACTAAAGAGCGTTTCAGAAATATTGCGAGAATTTGGAAATATGATTGGCATATGTGAGGATAATTACTTTGAATACGAATAAAAATAATCTATTTTGTGGAAATATATAAACTAGCATATACCCGCTACTTCGTTAGCGAATGTGGGAAATATTTAAATTTTCTGACCGCAAAAGAAATCTAGCTCTATACAAAAGTTGGTGTTATTTTTTACCCTTTTTACTCTTGTAAAATTTCAAATATAGCATCACCCAAATCCAAATTAAGTACCAGTTAGTAAACATTAATATAAACTGACATAACTACATACATTAACAATCATAAATACGAATTTCCAACACTACCCCAATCTTAATTCCAAATTTCACGATTCTATCGGTTCTCCTAAATCCAATTTGTTTCAAGTTTAGTGCCATTTAATACACATAAGTACAAATTTCCATTACTTCCTACATCATGCAATCCAATGAAAATCTTATTACTCAATTTCAAGATTTCAGCTCTATCGGTTAGCTTTTAATCCAAACTGTGCCAAATTTAGTGCCATTTAGTACACATTAGTAGACATTTCCAACAGACATCCCCAACAGTGATCCTAACTACCATCTGTTACCATTTAGTACACATTAGTACAAATTTCCAAAACCGTCGACATATCCCAATCCTACACCCCAACTGTAATACTAACTTCAAATTTCAGGATTCCAGCTGTATTGGTTCAATTTTACCAAATTTAGTACACAGTAGTACCAATTTCGAAAACTTCTTACATACCCCAAAAACTTCTTGACCCCAATCCCACACCCCTACAGTGATCCTAACTTCAAATTTCATTGTTCCCGCTCTATCGGTTCACCCAAATCCAAACTGTACCGATTATACTACGATTTAGTACTTTACAAGTACACACAAGTAACAATTTTCCAAAACTACGTTCATATCCCAATCCTACACTCCGACGGTACTTTTAATTTCAAATTCTAGAATTCCAGCTCGATTTGTATCTCCAAATTAAATTTGTACCAATTATAGTACCATATAGTACTTTTCGTACACATGAGTACACGCCTTTAAAAACCATAATTCACACACCAAATTTCAAGTTTTTAGCGCTATCCGTTCAAATGCTACAGAATTGCACCAAATTTAGTACATTTTCGTACTTTTCAGATAGTTAGAGTTCGAATTTCCAAAAATCCTTTGGAACATCTATCCTACACTCAACCAAATTTCAGAGTTCTAGCTCCACCGGTTCGCCAAATACAAATGGTACCACATTTAGTACTTTTTAGTACTTTTCGTACCGTTCTAGTACGAATTTCCACAAACCCAGTCTTATCTGTCAAATTTGGACCAAGAGTGACCCCCACCCAAAATTTCAAGATTCTAGCTTCAGCTGTTTCGTCTGGGCGTTGATGAATCGTTAAATCAGTCAGTCAGTCAATCACTTTACTCTTTTATTAGTGTAGATTATTTGTTGATCAATTTTTGTTATTTTGCTTAATTTACCATAGACCTTCCTTGCAACAGTCGGTATTGGATACTAGTTTACAAGGTAACATACTGTTTATTTTCGAACACTGACTACCAATGGCTATTCCCTGAAATAAAATCTCATACGAATGTTTAATAACAGGTTTCCATTTCGGGGCGGTGGCTAGTGGTCTGTGAAAAAAATAATTTGGTGGGGGTGGGCTACGTCGTTGTTTCGTCTAGAAATGTTCGTCGAAGGAATGATTTAGTGCATTCATTGCCCTTGAACTTGAACCTAAATAAAACTAAAAACCAATGCTGCCGGACGGCCGACCGGCCAGTCAATCTGCAAACAGGAATCCTGTTTCGTTCTCCACAAAACATGAAAGCTAAAAATAAAGTTAAAGAATTGTGATTCCCCTTGATTGTTGACTCTGCCCTGTAGACATTTGTCTGTGTCTATGCAATATATATTTTTTTTAATTTTCATACTTCATTAAAGAAAGAAAATCTGGTTTGGCAACTGGTAAAGTTGCACTGAATTCCCATTTATTTTTGAGTACCATAGTTCTGTTCTATTTCACCCATTGTTGTCCTCTTTCTTCTTTTGGCTTGTTCGCTTCAATCCTGGAAGAAGGAATTCAACAGGCAATCATTTCGAAATCTTAGTCAGTCTGATCAATATAAAAGCGTTGTTCTTGGCCTCATCACATTCGCAGTCCGGTTGTGGATAAGACAGTATTCCTTCTTGGTTAAATCGAATTCATAAACAATTACAATGGGTGGTAAGTATAGTGAAATATTTATAAATAATATTGAGATGTTGAGAAAATAGCCGAAATTATTAAAAAAAAACATCTACAAAGTATAAGCTTCGGATGTGAAACAAATATTATTAAAAAATAAAGAAACGTTAATAATTGGCAAATATACCCGCTCCACATTACTCATTGGAAAAATATTCATCCCAAATCCTCGCTTTAGATGGCCATTAAAAAATAACCTTACAAAAATTAATATATTCTTATAAAAATCTACGCTACGGATGGCCATGAAAAACTATTCTTCAAAAATTCCACGCTTGGGGTGATCCGCGAAAAAATATTTTTCAAAAAATCCACGATTTGGATGATCCGGTCGCATTTCTGATTCGCATTGGGTGAGCTGTGCTTAATAGCTCACTCATTTGGCCCAAGGACGATACCCTATTGAAATTGAGACAAATCGGTTCAGATTTAGATAGGGCTCCGATATATATTTTCGTCCGATTTAAGGTAAAAGACGCACCAAAGTCCCTAAATGCATTTCGAAATTTGGCACAACGTACTGAATTAAGCCTAGAATGATGTGTGCCAAGTTTCGTGAAAATCGGTTCAGATTTAGATATAGCTCTCATATATATTTTCGTCCGATTTTAGGTAAATGGCGCACCAAAGTCCCTGAAAATCATTCGATTTGCACGAATTTTGGTATAGCCCACTGAATGAGGTCTAGAATGATGTGTGCCAAGTTTTGTGAAAATTGGTTCAGATTTCGGTATAGCTCCCATATATACTTTCGTCCGATTTAAGGTAAATGGTGCACCAAAGATTTAGATATAGTTCCCATATATATATTTTCGTCCGATTTTATGTAAATGGTGCAGCAAAGTCCCTATATATCCCTCGATTTGCATGAAATTTGGCAAATTTGAATTAAGTCTAGAATGCTGTGTGGTACTTTTCGGGAAAATCTATTCAGATTTCGATTGAGACTTGAATGATATTACTGATTTTTGTTTAAATTGGTGCAGATTCCATATGTATTTCGAACGGGTGTCTGATTGAGATTAAATTTTTAACAGTGCGACTTACCGAATAGCGTGTATCAAGGCATGAATATGTTCCTTCGAGGGAACATTGACATGCAATTGTAAGTGGTGAAGGGTATCAAATATTCGGCCCAGTCCGACTTTACTACTTTCCTTACTGGTTTAAAAATATTTTAGTTTGGGTGGTCGATCAAAAAATAGTCTTTTAATATTATACGGATGGAATGAACCATAAAATATATTCTTTAAAAAATGCAGGCTTGGAATGGTCTCTTAAAATATTAATTAAAAAATCCAAGCTTCGGTGAAAACCAATCCATTAAAACAAATTTTAAAAAATTTACGCTTGGGGCGGTCTACGAAAAAATATTCTACTTTGGGGTGGCCCTTGAAAAAATATTCGATTGTGATGATCCATGAAAATATATATTTTTAAATCCAAACATTGAAATGTCTATAATAAATAATTACTAACTATCCAAAAATCTTCTCTTGGGATGGTCCGCGAAAAAATCAACGCTTCAGATTGTCCGTGAAAGACAACCTATACAAAATCTGGCGGATGTACGCAAAAAAATATGTTATTTTCAAAATTCCACGAATGGTCTGCAAAAATATTCTACTCTTTGGATGGTCCAAGGAAAAAATATTCGTTTAATGATCTACTTATACCATAAAAAATTGACGTTTGAAATGGTCTGTAGATTAAAAAAACACTACGAAAAAATATTGTTGGAATGGTTTCTGAAAAAAATAAATGAGATTGGGATGGTCGGCGAAAAAAAAATAACTTAAAAATTTCGCCCTTGGGATGGCCATTGACAAAATATTCTTTAAATAATCTACGCTTAATCCATGGAAATATATTTTCTAAAAAAACTTAGCTTGGGAGGGTTCGCTAAAGTTTTTCGTAAAAAAAAACTTGAAGAATCCTCAGGAAGAATATTCTTTAAAAAATGGACGATTGGGATGATTTGTAAAAAAATCTTTAAAAAATTTACGATTTCAATGGCCCTCATAAAAATATTTATAAAAAAAACGTCCATGAAGAATATTCTTTAAATAATCTACCCTAGGGTTGGTCCACGAAAAAAAATAATAAAAAAACAAGTTTGAATTTAATTTAAAAATCCTAGCTTTAAGTGGGTCGAGAAAAAATATTCATGAAGAATTGTACTTTTAGCCCAGCATATTAAAAAACTAATAATAAAAAGAAAGTCAGAGGAAGATCCTACGTACTCACCATTATGCAATGCGTTTCGCCGTTGGTTATGTGGTCCATCTGGCATATTGGACTATGTGGCTTTAGAAAGGTCGTATGTTGATAACCTGTATTTATACAGCAGTTAATGCGAATTAAATTTAAATATATCAAGGTCCGACATTTGTCTTCACTCTAGAAACGATCATTACGAGAAGAACTCACATAAAAATGATCATCGCCCTTACAGGCAAAATTCAAATAAATAATTTTTTTTGTTTAAATCGATGTTGAAAACATGGGAAAAAATTAAAATTAATTACTTAAAAAGAAAATTATATTCACGCTTGTGTTGGTCTTTAAAAAAATTGTTTTTAAATTCTCGATTCATTCTTATTGCAGAGAACATATTTATTAAATTAAAAAAATACAATATATATTTTTATTACTTTTTTATTTCAGTTAATACTCATTTCATAGCCACAATTTGTGTTATGACAGTATCGGTGATAGTTGCCACTCCAACAACCCCCCTCGCCAACGTTGATGACTCGCAATCAAGGGATCTATCCAAGAGTTTGGAAGACTTTGGAACTCTACTCTACTCGCAAATAGCAAAACGTAGTGAACAGAAAAACATTCTATTTTCACCATTCTCAATTGAGACCAATCTGGCAATGCTGCGTTTGGGTGCTACAGGACAAACAGCCGCAGAAATTGACAATGCTCTACATTTGAAATTTAACGATGGCGAAAAGTTGGCCAACTCTTTCGAAAAGATACTTTCAATCTATCAGAATAGTGATTTTCTACAAATGGCCAATAAAATATATATAAAGGATGACTTAGAACTCCGCGATGAATTCAATAAGTTGCTCGCCGAACATTTCTTCGCCTCCGCAGAAAATGTGAATTTTACCCAAAATATCAAAGCAGCTGAGACAATCAATTCCTGGGTTGCCGCTAAAACCAATCAATTGATTAAAGATCTCGTGAGTGCCGATGATTTGAGTTCAGAAACACGATTGCTACTGCTCAATGCAATATATTTCAAAGGTGAATGGGAACATGCATTCCCCGAAGAAGGCACACGCCCACAAAAATTCTATGTGGATGCCACAAATAGCGTTGATGTGGAAATGATGCACACTTATGGAGATTACCGTTATGGCAAAATAGACCAATTGGATGCTACCGCTTTAGAAATGCCTTACAAAAATTCCGATCTTTATATGCTTGTAATTTTGCCGAATTCTCGTGATGCTTTAGAAGATCTGAGAATCAAATTGCAGTCATATTCCCTACAAGATATAAGAGATAACATGGCTTTGGAAAAAGTTACCGTAAAAATGCCTAAATTTAAAACTGAATACACAATTGAATTGAAAGAGACTTTAAAGAGCGTAATTATGATAAACTATTTCAATTAATTTAATAATTCAAAGAGATATTTTATGTTATATATATTTTTTTTATCTGCAGTTGGGTATAGAACGCATGTTCTCCAAGGATGCGGAATTGGAAAAAATGACCAACTCATCAGAAAGACTTGAAGTGACGAAAGTTTTGCATAAGGCATTTATTGAAGTCAACGAAAACGGCACTAAGGCTGCTGCATCGACAGGTATGTATAACAAAAATTCATGCTCGTCTAGGTCCCTGAAAAAAATATGTCTTCAAAAATCCAGGCTTCATTAAAAATCATATTTTTAAAACTACACGCCTTTGTTGGACCTTGCATAAATAATTTCAATATTTTTTCAATGCCTGAGTCATTGGAAAATTATTTTGATTATATGTAGATTTAACTGAACATGCTTTTTTATAAAATATCAAATTCCTATATTTTTAGGTTCTGTTGTGGCTCCCGAAACTCTGCCTTTTCCGCCTGTATATATTTATCGATTTGTCGTGGATCATGGCTTCATCTATAAGATTGTGAACAGTGATGGCATTGAATTCTTTGAAGGATCACAAAGTGAATTTTAAACACACACTGAAAAAATAAAATTGTATTCATACTGCTGGAGAATACTTCGAAAGACAATAAAAACATCTTTGATGATATATAATCGCATTTTTATTATTAGGAGAGAAATATATATATTATACATATAGTAGTATATATAGTACATATAGTAGCCCTTGTATAAACAATTTCGTTTGGAAAATTTGCTTAAAATACCGAATTTTGTGGTTACCGAATACCGAATTTTGTGGTTCTTTACAGAATTTTATTCTTGTGAATAATGGGTTCTCCCGTTAATATTTCGAGTTGTTGCAACCGGAATGAAAAATTTGTTATAATTATTTAAAAAACCAGTAAGAAAAGCTCAAAAGTCGGACGGGGCCGATTATATGATACCCTTCACCACTTTGGGTACATACAAGATATGTTAATATCCTGTAGATAGAACTGACATAGAATCTTTGTAGGACCATTAAGATGGAATCGGGCGAAATTAAATGTGCTATCCAGATAGTTATTTGAACCAATTAAAACCAGTAAGGATAGTAGTAAAGTCGGACGGGGCCGACTATATGATACCCTTCACCACTTTAGGTATACTCAACAGATGAATCCTAACAGACGTCGCATTTTTATAGAACCAGTAAAATGAAATTGGATCCATAAACATGTCATTCTGCAACCGATACTAAATTCTTCATTTGGTCAGATATAGAAACTGTATCTAAATCTGAACCGATTTTTACGAAACTAAGTACACATCATTCTAGACCTAATTCATTACGCTGTGCTAAATTTCGTTCTAACCTAAAGATATTAAGGGACTTTGGTACAACATTTACCTTAAATCGGACGAAAATATATATATATTCTCGGGGTCAAAAATTTTGTTGATATAATTCGAATCTACACTGATTAAAGAATCTCTCTACAAAATTTCAAGTGAAAATCTCAAGAACTCTTGAAGATATAGCCGATTTATTGTGTCAGCATCAAGTGACGGCTGAAGGGCTTCTCAAACTTTAAACGCGTTTTTCTCTAAACATTTTTTTGCGAATGGCGGGCACGATAACTCAAAAACTAATAATCCAATCGGTTCCAAATTTTGCAACGTTTCTCTGGGAGTGTATAGCCCTCGTATGAACTAGGATAAAGCCAATCGGTGAAGATCATCCTTATTTTGTAACTTGGTTTTTGGTAAAAAAATCGGCGATTTTCCAAAAATATTTTTTCAATGGTCCACCATTTTGTTAATTTTAGAGCGAAGTCAATAATCCTAGTTCATACGAGAGCCAGACATGCACTCTTTCTAACACCGTTGGAATTTTCGGATTCCGATGTTCCAGTGATGAGTTATCATGCCCGCCATCAAAAATAAGGAATTTTCTTTAATTACAAAAAACAACAACAAAACAATAACAAAATTTTTTTGTAAATTATTTTTCTTTTTTTTTAAATCTTCAAATATATATGTGCAAAGTTACAAACCTTAACAAGCAACGGTATAGATTTACCAGCCCATTGAATATCTTGAAAAATTAAAATCAAGAATGGGGGAGGGGGTTCCCTTAAGTATACCGATCGTCATTTCTCGACTAGCTGAGTCGATCTAGACATGTGTGTCCGTCCGTCCGTCTGTCCATTATAATTTGTAAACACGATACAGTCCACAATTATGGACCAATTTTGCATGTAGGATGGGTTCTGCCCAATGAAGACACTATTTTATCAGGTATGGATCGGTTAATATTTAGGGGATGAAATGGACCAAAAACTTTATTTTTGTATGATTTGCTGGTCGCTCCAAGGGGGGCAAACATCGCGAAGGGGATCCAGCCAAAGACAGCATGCCTGTTTTGATAAAGATCGGTCAATATTTTGCGAGTCAAATGGAACCTGACTTTTGTGTGAAAAATTACAAAAATTGTATTCTATAACGTATATATTTACTCCCGAAGGATATAGACCCGAGAAGTTGATAGTATAACCAAGAGGAGTGGTTGGCCTTCAAATTGATACCAATTATATTGTCGTATGTGCTCGGATGTGGGAGTTACACTTAAATATTTACAGGTGCTTACGTATTCAGTTATTATTTAGTAACCCATTACCACACTTTAGGGCGGAAATATAGCGCTGGTCGCTTTGTTATTTTCCATGAGATTCCGGTTATGATCAACGACAACGCCTATAATTTTGGTGCTGATCAGATTATAATTTTGGGATGAAGTGGACGGAAAACTTTGTTTTTTTTAATTTACCTATAGGCCTGAATTATAAGCCGAACATCGTAACACAACCCACGGTGAAGGGAATTTGGACAAGTAATCAGAAGGACCATTAGAAATATTAGTAATATTTCTTGACCTCTTGTCGGTCAAAAGATTGCAAATATAGCGGAATATTGCCCAAGCTCAGAATGTAGAACCAAAAAAAAGTATATTTTCTTGGAGGTTGTGTAGGGTTTCATATGGTCGGCCCCGTCCGACTATACTGCTCCGCTCACTGGTTCAAGAATATATTTTCATGGATAATCCCAATCGTAAATTATTCAAAGAATATTTTTTCATGGGCCACGAAAAGAGCAGAATATTCTTCCATTAGACTGTTCAAACTGTTAGATTTTGTAAAAATTTGTTTTTTGAGGATCATATCAAGATTGGATTTTTTTTTAAATGATATGAAAGTAGATTTTTGTATTAATATTTTTTCAAGGACCATTTTTGTAAATGATTAAGGCAGCGCGGGGCATTTTGAATACAGTCTTATACGCGGACAGTCATTGAATGTGATGAGACAAGAACAACGCTTCATTATATACACACAAACACGCATCAGACTAAACCACAGACAGACTACCTTCCTACTTCTAGGATTTTTTTGAAATGAACAAACCAAAGGAAGAAAGAGGACAACAACGTATGAAATAGAACAGGACTGTGATACTCAACAATTGCCACTGCCACTTTACTAGTTTTGCAAGACGAGTTATTCTTTCTTTAATGCTATGAAAATTAATATATGTCTACACAAATGTCTACGGGACAGAGTCAACAATCAAGGGGATCTATATTTTTAGCTTTAGTTTCGTTTTGAACAAAAACAGGATTCTGTAAACGTTGCAGGTTGGCCGACTGGCAGCATTCGTTTTAATTTTTATATAGGCTCAGGTTCAAGGTTAATGAAGGCATCATTTCTTCGACAAATATTTCTGGAGGCAACAACGACATAGGCAACGACCACTGCCCACCACCGACATGAAATGTATACGCTTGCTATTTACTTCAGGAAATAGTGACTGGTAGTCAGTGTTCGAAAATAAACAATATTATACCTGGTAAAATAGTGTCCCATACCGATCGTTTCAATGAAGTTCTATGATAAGTTAAGATCTTCAGTATCACAGTGGATCATACTAAATATGAACCCCAACCCAACCAGTACAATAAAATAGGCTTGGAATTCAATCGTTCAAAGACTTGCGATCGCACAAAAATAAAAACAAAAAAATTTTAGAATATGCATAGAATCGCTTTCTGAGTCGATTTATGCATCCAGATGAAATTTGTCTAATTAATTTATATGGTCCAAGGTCGAACCCAAAGTTTATACGATTGATATGACATTTTGAACTTACTTACTTACTTACTTAGCTGGCTTATGACAGAACGGTTGTTCCATAAGCCGAGCTTAAAAAGATTTCCAAGCGCGTCGGTATTGTGCGCATCTCATCCAATTTGAAATATATATTTCCGAGATGTTGTCTTTTACTTGATCTTTCCATCAGATTCATGGCCTTCCCCTTGGCTCGCTTTTATATGCCTTTTGAGCTGGGGCATCTTCGTCCATTCTCACAACATGGCCTAACCAACGTAGTCGCTGTAGCTCGATATAACTGACTATGTCGATTGTCGAGAAAATATGGTACAGTTCATGGTTCATTCGACGGCGATAAATCTTCCTGAGAATTTATCTCTCAAACACTCCAAGAGCTACCTCATCTGCTTGCAAAAATACCCATGATTCAGTCCCTTTATACCAGCATCGTCGTTTGGAAGAGTGTGACTTTGGTCTGGCGGGAGGTGACCTTGTTTCTAAACTGCTTACTTAGACCATAGTAGCATCTGTTGGCCAACATTATCCTTCTCCGAATTTCAAAACTGCTGTTTTTAGTTTTCTTTATAGCGGTACCAAGGTATATAAAATCTTTAAGTAATTCGAAGCTGTACTTCTCAAGTTCCACAGTTGGTCCGAGTCTATTGGACGTCTTGCGCGTTAATACTATCAGCTTGGTCTTCTCGACATTTACTGCCAGACCCACTTTGTCACAGTCCTTCTCAATTTGTTCAAAAGTGACTGTTACCGCTCGCAATGTTCGACTCATTATATCGATGTCATCGGCGTAGTCCAATGGCATGTGTTGTTTGGTGTACAGAGTGCCATTTCTGTTCACCTATGCCTCTCGTATGACCTTTTCAAGCAAGATGTTACAAAGATCACACGGCAAACTGCCACTTTGTCGGAATCCACGTTCGGTATTAAAAGGGCTCCGATAGTTCATTTCCGATTAACTGCTGGCCTTGTGCCAGTTAAAATTATCATGCATAGTCTGACCTTTTCTGACCCTCTCGTATGACCTTTTCCAGCAAGATGTTACAGAGATCACACGACAAATTACCACTTTGTCGGAATCCGTGTTCGGTATTAAACTGACCGATTAACCACTGACCTTGTGCCAGTTAATGTTATCATGCATAGCCGAATTAATTTTGCAGGAATGCCAAACGCAGACATGGCTTTAAGCACTTCTGAACGGATAGGGCTGTCGAATGCGGCTTTATAGTCGAAGAATAGGTGGAATGTGTCGATGTGTTTTTCGTGGGTTTTTTTCCAGGATTTGGCGCAGAGTGAAAGTCTGGTCAATGGTGAATTTGCAAGATCTGAAGCCGCATTGGTATAGTCCAATAATGTCATTGACCATTGGGTTCAGTCGTTCACACAGCACGCATGATAACCTTGTCCTCTATGGTACAATGGTAATCCAACGCCACCGGCTGCTTTATTCTTCTTCAGCGTATTAATTGCTACTCTGACATCATCTTGGCACCAAAGACCTATATATTGGGATTTCCACGAAATTATCCATAGAGTATTAAATTGAGTTTAAACTTATATGTGCCAAGTTTCGATGAAATTGGTTCATATATATTTTCTTCCGATTTTCAATAAATAGTGAACCAAAGAGGATATGTTTGTTCGATTTTCACGAAATTTTGCATAGCGTACTCCAAATTAAAATTGTTCCAAATTTAGTACTGTTTAGTACTTTTTGTATACACTCTTCTAGAACCAATTCATTATATCGATACTATTTCTCAACCTAGATGCGCATTCCAAATTTACGAAATTTTATCAAATTTAGTACATTTTAGTACTTTTCGGTTACTTACAGATACAATTTGAAAAAAAAAAACAGTAAGGAAAGTAGTACAGTCGGACGGGGCGACTATATGATACCCTTCACCACATTGGGTATATTCAACAGATGGAATCCTAACAGACGTCGCATTTTTGAAGGACCATTAACATTAAATTGAACATTTCATCCCGTAACCTGCACTAAATTTTGGTCAGATATAGAGTTGGTCCTTACAATGGGACAAAATTATGTAAATAAATTTTAAGCAAAATATCGAAATCTAAACCGATTTCATAGAAACTTGTCACATGTTAGGTAACACTTATTTCAGTATGCTTTTTGTATTCGGCCACATTTTGAACTATTCATTTACTTATAAATCCAAATTTCGTGCAAATTGAAGGATATATAGGGACTTTGGTGCACTATTTACCTAATATCGGACGAAAATATATATAGAAGCTATACCCAAATCTGAACCGATTTTCACGAAATTTAACACACATCGTTCTAGGCTTAATTCAGAATGCTATGCCAAATTTCGTGCAAAGCGAAGGATATATAGGGACATTGGTGCACTATTTACCTAATATCGGACGAAAATATATATGGAAACTATACTAAATCTGTACAGATTTTCGCGAAATGAAACACACATCGTTCTAGAATTAATGCAGAATTTCGTGCAAATCGAAGGTTATATAGGGACATTGGTGCCCTATTTACATAAACTCGGACGAAAATATATATGGGAGCTATGTCTAAATCTGAACCGATTTTTCCCATTTTCAATAGGGTTCGTCCTTGGACCAATTAAGTGATCTGTGCTAAATTTCATCCAAATCGGATCATAAATGCGACCTGTATTTTTTTAACAAAAATACATGGACGGACGGACTGACGGACATGCATAAATCGACTCAGAAAGTGATTCTATGCATATACTCAAAAGGAACCATGGGTCTATCTCGATTATTTTTGCCTGTTACAAACATATGCACAAAGACATAATACCCTGTACCACACTGTGGTGAAGGGTATAAAAATGTTTTGGTACATCTATTCTACACTCTATCAGTGAGTCTAATTCCAAATTTAAGAGTTTAGCTTTACCGGTTCGTCAAATACTAATGGTACATTTAGTACATTTTAGTACTTTTCGTGCCGTTCTAGTACAACTTCCTTCACCTCAAATTTCAAGATTCCATCTTCAGCCGTTTCATTTGACTTTATTTTTTTGATTCGATTGTACGAATCGAAACCGTATGCCGCAAATTTCCCAATAAAAACAAAGTTGATTGTATTTCGGAATGTCAACGCCACTATTTATTAGGGGTAATATTTTTATTTATTTTGTTGTTGTTCTTTATTTATACCTAAAATCACTTTGCGATCCTTCAAAGAATTCAATGCCATTTCTACTCATTATCTTATAGAAGAAGCCATGATCTGCCTCAAATTTGACAGGTGATGACAGGAGAAATATAGATGGAGCAGACGCACCTTGACCTAAAATTTTTGAGACCATAAAAATTGTAATATTTCAAATTATTATTATTGAGCAATAAATAAATATATATGCATGCAGTGCTATAGATTCATTTGATCTGCAAAATCTCAATTTAGTTAATATACCATTTTTTATTGAAGAACACTGTATACATGCATATTTTTTTGGACAAGCGTGTATTTTTGGAAAAAATATTTTTTTAAGGACCATCACATATAAAGAAGAATATTTTTTAAAAGCAATCACATGTGGGATTTAGTTTAAAGATTTTTTTTGCAGGACACATACAAGAGTGGATTTTTATACATACCTGAAGCTGCAGCACCCTCAGTGCCACTTTCGTTGACTTCGATAAATGCCTTGTGCACAACGCTCGACACTTTAATTTTTTCTGATGAATTTAAAACATTTCCCAAATCTGCAAAATTAGTGAACAAACTTTCGATACCCAACTGCAAATTAAAAAAAGAAAATTATATACAACATCGAAAATTGATTCATTTATGCAATAGCTCATCGCATTTACCCTTTGTAAAATCGGTATCAAATTAATTTTGTATTCAGCTTTAAATTTTGGCATTTTCACTTCAACCATTATCTCCGACATATTACTTCTTATTTTTTGTAGACCATATGATGTCAACATCGTTCCTAGGTCATCTAAACCATCACGAGAATCCGGCAAAATTACAAGCATACAAGCAACGGAATCTTCCCACCGTATGCATCATGTCCACATTAACGCTGCGCACTGCATCAATATAGAATTTTTGTTGGCGTGTGTCTTGCTCCCGAAATCCCTGGGCCCATTCGCCTTTGAAATAAATTGCACTGAGCAGTACCAATTCAGTTTGCTCATTCAAATCATCGGCTCTGACAAGGTCCTTAATCAAGTGATTAAGGACCTACGAGTTGATTGTCTCAGCCGCCTTAATATTTTCTGTAAAATTCACATTTTCTGCCGTCGTTAAGAATTGTTTCGTAAGCAACTCATTGAATTGATCGCGGATTTCTAAATTTTCCTTTGCATATATTTTATTGGCCATTTGTAGGTAATCACTATTTTCATATCTCGAAAGGGTCCTTTCGAAATAGTTGGCAAACATTTCGGCATTTTCAAGTTTTAAACGTAAAGCACGGTCAATTTCCCCAGCTGTCCGTTTTTCAGCACCCATACGAATCATGGCCAGACTGGTCTCAACTGAGAATGGTGAAAATATAATATTTTTTTCTTGACTATTTCTTATCATTTGCCAGTAGAGTAGAGTTCCAAAGTCTTTCAAACTCTGGGTTATGGCGATTAATTGCCAGTCATCATCATTGGCGGAGGGGGTAGTCGGTGTGGCAATTATCACCGTTATTGTCATAACACAAATAGTGGCTATGACATGAGTATTAACTGAAATGAGAACGTAATAAAAATATATTGTTTTTTTTTAGATTTTTGATAGAGTGGTTTTCACGGAGTGGTTTATAAAAAAAATAATTTTTCATGTACCATGCGAAGCTTGAATTCTTTAAAGGATATTTTTTACGGGTAATATCAAGGCTGGATTAAAAAAAAAATCGCGGAATGTTTACATCATATTTGTTCTGCTCATTTTTTTACGAATCATCCCAAACGAAGAATTTTTTTGAACCATTCGATTTTCTTAGGAATGTGTTATCAATAATCATTCAAAGCTTCGCTTTTTTTTATATAATTTTTTTTTTGACAAACCATTTAGCAACGAGTAACGAAGCGTGGAAATTCTTTTCAATGATTTAACATTTTATTCTATTTTTTTAAATAATATTTTTTCACAAAACTGCACTTTTAAACTGTACTTTTTCAAGAATATTTTTTCACTGATTGCTTTGCTTTTTTCTCAACATCTCAACATAATGTCTAATTATTTTACTATACTTACCACCCATTGTAATTTTTTACGAATTCAATTTAATCAAGAAGGAATACAGACTTATCCGCTGCCGAACTATGAATGTGATGAGGCCAAGAACAACACTTCTTTATATACACACACGCGGATCAGACTGAGCCACAAACTATGTTATCGAAATATTTGTCTGTTGCCATCCTTTTTCCAGGATTTTTTTGAAGCGAACAAGCTGAAGGACGACAATGGATGAAATAGAACAGAACTGTGGTACTCAAGAAACGAATAGAATTGCATTGTCACTTTACTAGTTTTGCAAGACGAGTTTTGCAATTCGTGAATGCTATGAAATGATTTAAAAAATATTGCATAAAAATGCACACACACACAAATGTCAAAAGGACGGAGTCAACAATCAAGGGGAATTCTAATTCTTAAGCTTTAGTGTCGTGATGGACCAAAACAGGATTCTTTAAACGTTGCAGATTGGCCATTCGGCCGGATGGCAGCACCCGTTTTTATTTGTATTCACTTACAGGTCTAAGGGCAATGAATGCAGACAGACATTGCTAGACGCAACAGCGACATAGTCTCCCACCCCAACATGCATTTTTTTCACTATAAATTTAGGTCTGCAAATGAAAACATTATTTTTATAAGCCACTGTTGCTTATAAAAATCATGTTTTCATTTGAAATGAAAACCTCTATGCGCGCTTTAGTGAGCATTCTTATGACATCAGAATTCAGAAAATAGTCACTGGTAGTCAGTGATCAGTGAAAATAAACAGTATGATACCTGAGAAAATAGTGTCCTATACCGAAACACGCTTTTGGTATAAAACAGCTCCGACTAAATACCGAAAATAGAGCGATACTTTTATAGGGGGATATGTGCAAGTCGTCATCTGAATTGTTAATATTCTGCCTATGCACATGTATGATTGTCAAAACCCAGCAATGCGAAATTGCAGTTGATTTTAAAATACCGAAAATGAGGTTGTACCGTTATTGTAAGCTATACCAAAACTTTGAAAAATATTCATTTTTTGTTGGGAAGATTTGATACTGCATGCCAATCCAAAATATCAAATTACAGGCAATTCGATTGAAAAACGTGGCCAAACTCCCCCAAAATAACGAATACTGAGGAAATACCGCTCTATGGGAATTACAAATCCCGAAACATGGTCGAATATTAATAATTATCATTATATTAATAATAATTAGCTAGGGGGATTTTCTTTCGGATGTGAATATAAAATGTCAGATTGAAGCCAATTCGTTTCAAAAACGTACCCGAACTCCCCAAAATACCTTATATTGAGTGGTACCGTTATATGGAGGCAACCCTAAAAAGTGGATCAACATTGATCATTTTTGGTAGGAGGATGTCTTACCCAATGAGAACCCAAAATACCATATTACCTAAAAAGGTACCTAAAAAGTGCACCATTATATCTTAAATATCAATACCAAACATTCTAGCAGTAGTAGCCTGGGTAATATTTCGCGAAATTTACATCCTTTTGACCGATTATAGATCAATAGCTCCTCTTTCTTGTGTCAGACGGTTACAAATATTAAAAATCTGGAAGGAAAGTAGTAAAGTCGGACGTGCCGGCTATATGCTCCCCTCAACACTTTGGGTATATTCAACAGATGAATCCTAACATGAAAATGGATCCATACACATGCCATTCTGCAACCTATATTATATTTATACCCTTCACCACACTGTGGTACAAGGTATTATGTCTTTGTGCATATGTTTGTAACAGGTAAAAGGAAACGAGATAGACCCATAGTTCCTTTTGAGAGTATGCATTGAATAACTTTCTAAGTCGATTTATGCATGTCCGTCCGTTTGTCCGTCTGTGTTAAATTGTAAACAAAGTACAGGTCGCATTTATAATCCGATTTGGATGAATTTGGCACAGCTCATTTGTTTGGCCGAAGGACGAACACTATTGAAGTTGAAAAAATCGGTTCAGATTTAGATATAGCTCCCATATATTTTTTCGTCCGATTTAAGGTAACTGGTGCACCAAAGTCCCTATATGTCTTTCGATTTGCACGAAATCTGGCATAGCGTACTGAATTGAGCCTACAATGATGTCTGCCAAGTTTCGTGAAAATCGGTCCAGATTTAGATATAGCTCCCTTATATATTTTCGTCCGATTTAATGTAAATGGTGCACCAAATTCCACATATATCTTTCGATTTGCACGAAATTTGGCATAGCATACTGAATTTAGTTCAGAATGATGTGTGCCAAGTTTCGTAAAAATCGGTTGAGATTTAGATATAGCTCCCTTATATATTATCGATTGATTTTAAGTAATTGACGCACCAAGGAATCAATATATGGCGGATAGGAACGAAACGTACTGAAATTAGTATAACCTTACCTGTGACTAGTTTCGTTGAAATCGGTTCATATTTGGATATAGCTTCCAAATTCCTTATGTTAGTCAGATTGACATCAAACTTTGCACAACGTACAAAATTGAGCATAGAATTGCGTTGTTGCGTTTCCTGGAAGTACAGACATAGCTCAACGGATAACCTATTGATATTTCTTTGAAGTCGATTTACATCATTTTGTTCCATTGTAACAAATGAGTGACATGTTTATGGATAGATTTAAGTCGATGCACATTTATATAAATAACACATATTTTATTTCTTCCAATTTCATGTTAATAGTCCTGTTTAATATACCCAAAGTGGTGAAGTCCGCCCCGTCCGACTTTACTACTTTCTTTACTGGTTTTTATTTGTTCAGATGTATAGTTGCTTCTTACTATATGACAAAATTATGTAAATCAATTTAAAGCAAATATAAATCCGGGTGTCTGATGGGATAAACATTCTAGACCTAATTCATTACGATATTCCAAATTTCGTGCAAATATAAAGATATATATTGTCTTTGGTGCACCATTTACATTGAATCGGAGGAAAATATATATGGGAGCTTATCTAAATCCTAACCGATTTTCAGGAAACATAACACACATCATTCTAGACCTAAAAGTGATTCTATGCATATTCTCAAAAGGATCCATGTGTCTATCTCGTTTCCTTTTGTCTGTTACAAACATATGCCTAAAGACATAATACCCTGTACCACAGTGTTGTGAAGGGTATACAAAATAACACGCCTTGTGTCAGACCTTTAAAAATATTTTACACCAGTGAGCGGAGCAGTATAGTCGGACGGGGCCGACCATACGATAACCTACACAACTACCACGGAACTCTTACTCGCTGCAGATGTTTATATCGAGCCTGGGCAATATTTCGTGATATTTGCACCCTCTTTGCCGATTAGAGATCAACAGCACCTCTTGCTTACACTGACATATTTTCCGAATATTACCAATATTCATTACAGCCCTGCTAATTAATTATCGATATTCCGTGGATTGTGTTGTGATGTTAAGCTTGTGGCCTATAGATCGAAAAAACACAACAAAATAAGTTTTCGGTCCAATTCATCCAAAATTATGTATGTGATCATCACCGAAAATTATGGGCGTTGTCCTTGGCCATAAGTGGAACCTCTTTGAAAATTTTATAGCGATCAGCGCTTTATTTCTGCCCTCTAATGTTAAATAATATCTGAATACGTAAGCACCTTTAAATATTTAAGTTTAGCTCCCACATCCGAGTACATACGACAATATATTTGGCATCAATTTAAAGGCCAACCACCCCTCTTAGATATACTGTCAAATTCTTGGGTCTATGTCCTTCAGGAGTAAATATATACTCCATAGAATACAAATTTTGTCATTTTTCACACAAAAGTCAGGATCCATTTGACCCGCTAAATAATGACCGATCTTTATCAAAACTGGCATGCTTATTCTTTGGCCCGATCCCCCTTTTTCGCGATGTTCGGGCCATAATTGCGGTCTCTGGAGCGATCAGAAAAACCAAAAAAATATTAACCGATCTTTATCAAAAACAATAGGGGTCTTCATTGGCCAGAACCCATCCTACATGCAAAATTTCGTGAAGATTGGTACTTAACTGTGGCCAGTATCGTGTTTACAAATTATAATGGACAGACGGACGAACACACATATCTAGATCGACTCAGCTAGACGAGATATGACGATCGGTATACTTAAAGGTGGATCTAGCACCAATATCTCGCGGCGTTTCAAACTTTTGGGGCTGCACAAAGCTATAATACCCTGACAACATAGTTGTGTAGGGTATAAAAACCCAAGACTATTTTTAGGCCCTTAAAATATTTTTAACCAGTGAGCATAGCAGTATAGTCGGACGGGCGGACCATACGATACCCTACCCAACTACCACGGTATTCTAACTTGCTGCGGAAGTTTACTCGTGATATTGCATTCTCTTGCCCGATTAGAGGTCAACAGAACCTTTTCCTTGCATTTTCGAATATTCAGTAAAGCCCTTCTAATCACTTGTCCAGATTCCCTTCACGGTGGGTTGTGTTTTGATGTTCGGATTATATTCGACTCGAAAACACACAAACAAATTAATTTTTCGGTCCATTTCATCTCAAAATTTTTAATGTGATCATCACCGAAAATAATAAGCGTTGTCCTTGACCACAACTGGAACTTCATGAAAAATTTCAAAGCGATCAGCGCTATATTTCCGTTCTCTAATTTGGTAATGGGTTACTAAATAAAATCTGAATACGTAAGCACCTGCACATATTTGAGTGTAACTCCCACATCCGAGTACATAGGACAATATAATTGGTATCAATTTAAAGGCCAACCACCCCTCTTGGATATACTGTGAAATTCTTGGGTCTATGTCCTTCAGGAGTAAATATATACGCCATAGAATACAAATTTTGTCATTTTTCACACAAAAGACAGAATCGATTTGACCCGCTAAATAATGACCGATCTTTATCAAAACTGGTATGCTTATTCTTTGGCCCGATTCCCCTATCCATGTAAAAATTGGCGATGTTTGCGCCATAATTGTGGCCTCTGGAGCAACCAGAAAATCAGACAAAAATTATGTTTTGGGGTCCAT